CTTTTTCTTTTTTTTTTTTTTTTTTTTTTTTTTTTGGTGGTGTGGAATAGTTTTTAGAGAAAGGATTTCTCTGTGTAACTGTCATGGCTGTCCTGGAATTCGATCTGTAGACCAGGCTGGCCTCGAACTCACAGAGATCTGCCTGCCTCTGCCTCCTGAGTGCTGGGAATAAAAGTATATATCACCATGCCCAGCGGCGTCTCTACACTTACTAAAATGATCTAAATTGGGCTAGTGAGTTGGATCAACAGGTAGGGATACTGACACTGCCAAGTCTGATGACCTGAGTTTCAATCCCCAGAATCCGAACAGTCAAAGCCGAGTACCAACTCCTATAAGTTGTCATCTGATCTCGACATGTCCACACATTGACCTCTCCTAAATAATACAATTTAAAACTTAGATCAAGAGGCTTTGGGCAGGAGATGCAGAATGTGGTAAAGTATTTGCTTGCCTAACTTGGATAACTAAGGTCTGAGTTTGAGCTTTAACACAAGGAAGAAAAGGGATGGGGAAGGGAGGAAGCAGCCAGTTAGCTGCTAGTTTTGTGTGAAGTCATGATTGATTAACCGTATGGTTTTTGAGCAGAATGTGTGGCACAGGCCTATAATCCTATCACTTGAAAGGTTGAGGCACAAGAATGGGGGTGTGAGGCCAGCTTTGACAACATAGTAAGTTCCTGCTTGGCAACACAGCAAAACTATCTCAAAACAACAATCAGCAACAAAAATCACTATCAACAAGAATGAGCATACATGTTAACTGCTACCTGTCTTGGCCGGGGTTTCTATTCCTATGATAAAACACTATGACCAAAAGCATCTTAGGGAAGAAAAGGTTTATCTAGATTACATATTCTGATAACAGTCTATCATCACAGAGAGAAGTCAGGGCACGACCATGAAAAAGCTGAACAGAAGCCATGAAGAAACACTGCTTACCAGTGCTCCTCATGGCTTGTTCAGTCTTCTTTCTTTTGTCAACCAGAATCACCTGACCAGAGCTGTCAGTGTCCCGAAAGAGCTGGGCTCTCCCACATCAATCATTCATCAAGAAAATATACTACAGACTTACCTACAGGCAAACCTCAGGGAGGCATTTTCTCAATTTAGAGTTCCTCTTCCCAAATAACTGTAGCTTGTGTCCAGTTGACAACAATCTGACAAGCATACTACCATTCCCCCCACACAATGGAACCCTGAAAGCAAAGGGAAAGTATGACCAGTGAGAACAATGTTAACTGGGGTAGACAAGCCTGAGCTGCAGCTCCCAGCACCGTGGCAGCTCAGTGACAGTGCACCAGCCGAGTATATGCCAAGTCCTGCTGTCCAGATCCAGCACTGGAAAAAACAAGTAAGTAAATTCAATCCTTCTAGAAGGGAAGACAAGAAGAAACAGGCCTGAGAAAATATCACAGATTTGAAACAAGTCCAAGGTTATTTTTTTAAAGGGGTACAGGAGGGTAAGAAAACCAAAATCCATTGTGAAACATTTAAATACAACAAAAACACCCCCAAAAGATTGACATGAGAAAATAACTAATAAACAAATCAATCCAGGTTAAAAGAAAAATCACAAAAAGGAGGGGGAAGAAATTGCAAAGCAAAGTTTAAAGTCTTTTAAGTTAAAAAAAATCAATGGAATATTACATTCTAAGAATAGAAGAATAATGATGAGACATACCACTGTGAAGCTTTAGTAATTAATAGATAATACAAAAACTTTCTAGAGACAGAGATCTGCTATAAACAAGTGGTAGCTGGCCCAAGGTAACAGTGAAGGCCAGGTGTCAATGGCATTGCTTTCAAACCTCCAACAGTTCAGTGGCTCTGTCCTTGAATCTTGCACATTCCCTGGCATTCTTGCAAAACCAAATGATGGATTCTGGGAAGTGGATTAACAGTGCATCAATCTGTTATTCTCCACTTGCCTGGATTCACAGGACAGCAATTGCAGAGGAGCTGACAGATCCAAGAGAAATTACAAGGATCCCACCCCTCCAAAATCCAGGAAAGCAAAAAGCCAACCATTACCCTTCATAGCTGAGATTTTAGGGTTAATCAGTGAAACATAACCTATTTCTCCTGAGTAAATTTAAGCTGTACCTTAAATTCAGCCAAACTATAAACCAAATACTTGAGCAAGCATTTTCTAGCACACAAGCCAAAACCAGTAAAGTACTACCTCCTCACTTTTCAGGAAGTTTCTACAGGTGTGAGTTCCAGACTGACGAGTGGGCTCTTTTTGTCCCCGCTTCTGTATCGCCCCTAGCCAAAACCAAACAATTGTCCGTGAAGATGGAAGTACAAATGCCTAGCCACTTGTATCAATATCAAGAAGAGCTATGTGCATGAGATCTCATGTTGAAATCCCCTACAGAACTGGCATATAACTAGGCTAACTGCATAAACACATGTCTGAATTTATTTACTTATTTATTTACACATCTGTAAAAGAATGAAGTCTGATTATACTCTGTTGAACTTCCTGTAGCCTGAAATTACAACAGTTTTACAGATGTATAAAAGCACAAAAATCCTGAGACTTCCTTCTTGTTTATAAATTTTGCCAGTCTGTGATATTTAGTAACATTATTCCCTAAATATGTTTTTCCCCCAATGAAAGGGATGCCAAAGGACAAGTACTCATTGAAAACAAAGCTTGCTGGGCGTGGTGACACATGCCTTTAATCCCAGCATTCAAGAGGCAGAAGCAGGTGGACCTCTGTGAGCTGGAGACCAGCCTAGTCTACAAAGTAAATTCCAGGACAGGTTACACAGAGAAACCTTGTCTGAAGAAAATAAAAAAGACAAACAAAAAACAACCCAAAGCTAAACTTTTAGAATAATGTATTATAAATATCAAAACAAAGTTTGCACAAGGAAAGTAACACACATGCAAAGTAGTACATCCACCAATGAGAATGTATCTTCATCTCAGTGTGTTAACCCTGTTGATTCAACTATTTGACACTTCTGACACTAAGGTCTGAATAAGGTCAACAGCAAAGACTGGCTCTCTGAAGCACTTAGTAAACCAAGCTTGTCTGTGGAATTATAAAGATCAAAACTAAATGATTAATTTCTTTATTAAAAAACCTTTTATCAGGCACATAACTTTAGTCCCAGCACTTGGGAGGCATATACAGGCAGATCTCTGTGAGTTCAAGGCCAGCCTGGTCTACTGAGCAAGTTCAGGATGGGCTCCACGGCTAGAGAAACCCTGTCTCAAAAAACAAAAAAAAAAAACACCCAAAAATTTATCTAGGGACTGGAGAGATGGCTCAGAGGTTAAGAGCACTGGCTGGTCTACCAGAGGTCCTGAGTTCAATCCCAGCAACCACATGGTGGCTCACAACATCTATAAAGAAATCTGATGACTTCTGGAATGCAGGCAAATATGCAGACAGCATACTGTATACATAGTAAATTAAAATTAAAATTCTTTAAAAAATCTTTTATATAATAGGAGCCACACAATCCTATGCCTTTGTAAGAAGGTAGTTTAAATACAAGTTCATACTGTCACAAAGGTCCTCAGTGACCTCTTACATGCCATCATTTCTTTCTTTTCTTCTCTAATGTCCAAAAGTTGGCTGTGGAAAAATGGATAAACTGTCTTCAAAACCTTTTCAATAATTTTAAGACAATACTTTAGTGTGGTGGCTATAAAGAGGAAGACAGCTTCAAACCACATGTCAAGGAACTTCAGAAAGGACTCACATATCTAAGAGTACTGAGCCCACAGTCAAGCTCCACTGCATGCACACTGTGACCAGTGCCCATCCCCCACACACACACACATATGTCCCAGCAACTTGCATACTAACAGTTGCTTTGCATCCTGACCATTTCTCTTACCACTGCATCTTACACTCTTTTCCCATATTGCCCTTCTTTAGCAAGAATATCTGCATCACACAGAGACATTGCTGCTTCCACAACATATTCCTTTTGACCAGCCCAAGCACATTTTAAATTAGTTATTACTATTATCACTTGCTATATTCTAAGCATCAACCTAGTCACATGCACTGTCTTAATTTTTCATCTCACCTTTTAGAAACTTTACAAATAAAACTTTTTGAAAAGCAATTATACAAAATCAAAGTGTTAAAATTCAATCTAGATTTGTATTTCAGAGAAAGACTGCTGCAATCAGTCTAAGTGTCTGGCATGTCTAATTACAAATTGGTTTTTCCTTCTTGCTTGACTCTCTGCTGAAATCTAAGGCTGCCAAGAGGTTCCAGATAACTGAGGCTTGACTTCACTAGGCTATGTAAAGGAACAGTGAGGAAATATGCCCCAGAATAGTTACTTTCCACACTGACAAATAACCACTTATGAAAGTGAGGCAGTCGGTTTGGTTCATGAGTAACTTACACGTTATGGCTCCACAGGGAAACAGTGAAGGGCTGTTTAAGTCATGTGAATACAAGGTTTTTTATTTTATTAGTGTTTTGATTTATTCATTTGAACAGATCAGCTTGGACAATGACAAACAACTCACAATACCAAAGGCTACCTAATATCTATCTACACAGCAAGCCTCTTTCTGTCATGTGATGAGAACTACACATACTTTTTTGAATACCAGGTCCCTGCTCAGTGTGCAAGTTCCACAGGATATGTTAAAGACACAAAGGGGAAAGTAGCCAAGTTCCATGTGCTGGGAACACAAAGGGAAAAAAGACCATGGCAGGCATACTACCTCATGGAACCTGGATACTAACAGAGCAAAAAGGAGAGAATAGAATACTTAAACAACCATGTCTAAAGGAAATGTGTCAATTTGTTACTTCAAAGTACTTAGGAAGATTCTCTGAGGTGTGGACATTGGCTGTAAGGCCTAGGAATAAATCTCTCGCACAAGTAGCCACTGGTGGACACTGACAGTCAACAAAAGCAGTGTATCAGGGCTGGGCTCTGGAAAGCAGCCTGGGATACTGAGGAATGGAAGGCCAGGGTACGACTATTGTATAAGACATAGTGTAAACAACCTATGCAAAACCCTGTAGCCCAATTAAGAGTTTGGATGTACTTCAAATAAAATATATATTTACTATAACTGTGAGATGGATTTAGATCCACTTGAGGACTAAGACTCAGAAGATCCAAAGCCTGTTCAAGGTCACAGTGCTATTGAATGAACACCCTAACACTTGTCACGTCCTCTGTGTGCAGTCTGGAAAGTGAAATCTTATAGTCATTCAGATATCAACAAGATAGCCAGGTTAAGAAAGCTGATTCCTCATGAAAATGATAATTTTACAAAAGTATGCAGGTACCCTCAGACATCAATGCTATCTCTGTAACTTCAAGAGGTCAGAAGAGAAGCAGCACAAAACCAATGTCGTACACACATGTATCATTCTGTTTCTTGTGAACACATTTTCTTGAGAGTGACAGTGACCATCAAGAACTCAGAAATGGACATAAAAGCTTTGCCTCCTTTCAGCATACCTCAGAACTTTTTAAGTAAGATCACACAATTACCCCCTGCAAGCAAAACAAGAGGCTAACACAGAGTTTCTTACAACTGTCCACAGTGGCAAAAATAGCAGAGTTTTCTCTAAGGATGAAGTTACACAAGAAGGTCATGAAGGCACTTGGTTTCTGTTCTCTGAAAAGACAGCTCTTAAAAACAACAGCGTCTCCGTTCTAAAGCAAGACTGGAGAAGAACATGGAAAGGTAAATGGCTTGGAATCCAGTGGGGACAGCAGCACTTTTCCACACCACACCCTGTGCTTCGGCTGGCACCCAAATCCCTGCCTTGCCACTCCCTGCAGGTGTCCTAACAAGGGAGGGCACTCGGATGACTCCCTGAGGGAGACAGTGTTTTAGTTCCATGGTCAGAAGGGAAAGGAGCAGGGCCAGGCACCAATTCAGAGAATGTCTTAAAAGATAAAAGCAAACAAGAGCAGTGTCTTTAAAGAGATGCTAAATGGAGCCATAGAGAAGCTAGAGGTTCAGGTAAATAACTTGGTAGATCTTGACCTGGTCCAACCCTGCATAATAAACGCTCCCACATCCCTCATGAAGCCCACTGTCCAGAAGTCATGTCCTCAAATAAACAAGGGTTAGGGAGAGTGGTGGAACCAAAAGGTTAAGATGACCTACTTTCCTGAGGCAGGGATAGACCCTAAAACTTCTTCCCACATCCATACACGAAGCACTGGAGAGAAATCAGTGCAGAAA